TAACAATAGCTAAAATATTACGAGGATCGTTAAAGATGTCGGTAACAATCAATAAAGTTATATGAAAACAATGTATTACGAAATTATTCCTCTTAAAAAAATGCTCTATGGATCTACTGAACTGATTTAGATGACATTTGGTAAGAAGATAATTTGAGATCCTGGAAAGGACATAATTTTATATCCGGAAATCATCCTTTAAGAGGGTTAATATGGGGACAAAAGTTTGTATGGGGAATGTGGACGGGAACTAGAGACTAACTCAAGCGAAACGAAGGTAATCAAATAAAATTAACAATCAATCACACATGAAATTTTCAGTAGATATTGGAAATATTACAACAAACGATCATTAAGTAAATTAAATTAAAAAAAAAGTATTTCAAAAAACATTTAAACTTAAATAACTCTCAAATAGTTTTGTTTATCATTTATAGCTCATAAAATTACTATTCTGCAACACGACTAAGGATAATTTCACACTTTACTGTTATCTAGGGCTACTACTACTAGGGAACAATTTATCTTACCTTTATATAGCTTAGACTAGACAGTAGATTTTATTGCTTGTTAGTATATTAAATTGCCTTGGTGTTGACATATGTGGATTTCTGTGAAGTTATAAATTAAAGCTTGAAAATGTAAATTAGCTAGCCGTTTCAGCGTGAAGGAGTAACAAACATATATATATATATATATATATATATATGCAAACTTAAGAATTTATAATAGTCGTCCAATAAGGTACATTAATGGAAAGAGATTCCCACCCCCAAACGTGCATTCACCTTGTCGTGGTGAGAGCTTATTAGCGTCCAGGATACAAGCTGGGCGCGAAACCAAGAAACACACTGAGTGGCGGCTCATCTTGGTGGGTGGTGTGATATGCTGGTTGCTCCTGGTACTTCTCTGATAGCAGAATGGACCTTGGAGCAACTCCTGGTTTTTGTGGTCTGCTTCTATAGGCCTGACGTCAGGGTGTCGTGGTCCCCCCCCCCCCAACGTGCGCTCACCTTGTCGTGGTGGGGAGGCTCAGTAGTGCCCGGCAATCCAACCGGGCGCGAAGCTAAGAAACGCACAGGGAGGTTGCCCACTTCGGTGGGCGGTGGGAGGTGGCCCTCTTCGGGGGGTGGTGTACTTGCGGGTTGCTCCTGGTACTTCTCTGATAGCAGAGTGGACCTTGGAGCAACCCCATGGTTGTGGTGGTTTGCTTTGGCAGACCTGCCGTCGGGGCGTCGTAGTTGAATGCGTAAGCGATCCTGCGACGCCCCATTAAGACGGGGGAAGGTTTTGTTGGGTTTTAGTGGGTAGTACTGGCTGTATTACGCCGGTGAGTCCCACACGTCGTGCGTAAATGCATTTCCCAACGTTAAAAAAAAAAAGAGTGTCGTGGTTAAGTGTATAAGTGATACTGCGACGCTCTCTTTATGGTGGGGGAGGTTCTGTTCGGTTTTAGTGGGTACTACAGTCTTTACTAGCCGGTGAGTCCTTACATAACCATCTGTATGTATACATGTGGTACGCCTAAATGCATTTCCCAACATTAAAAAAAATCTTAATTTTAATCCTTTTCTATGTTTTTTTAAACCGACTTCAAAAAGGAGGAGGTTCTCAATTCGACTGTATTTTTTTTTTTTTATGTTTGTGACCTCAGAACTTCGTCATTTATTAACCGATTTGGTTGGACAATTTTTTTTTGTTTGAAAGGGTATACTTCCAGATTGGTCCCATTTAAATTTCAAAAAAAAAATACCACCCCTAAGGGTGGAAAAATAGTTAATAATGAATTTAAACTACTTCTAATTGTCATATTGACTTGAAACTTTGCAAGTGTTTCTATTTCCGTTGATAGTACAGAGGTTCGGTATTTTTGATCTGATCTGATGGTAAGGCCAGAAGGCGGATAGGTGGAACTCTTCAACGATAAATAGTAGATACTTCGAGTTTGGGCTTATTTTGTTGGGTTTGACAAGCCTAACACTTTAGAATTCTTACTTTGCTACTACTGTCTACACTAAAAAGGGAAAAATAAAAACTTTTTAACAAAAAAATAAAAACCGACTTCAAACAAAAGCACTAAAAAGTAAAAAATAACTGATTGGTAGTTTTCATTTACTATACATACCTAATCAAATATTGTCGAAGTCGGTGTGCTTTGCTTTGTATGGGCTGGCACCGATTTCAAAAATATTTGATTAGGTATGTATTTAATAGGTAGGTTTTAATTACTTAGCCAAAGCACACCGACTTCGAAAATATTTGATTAGGTATGTATAGTAAATGAAAACTACCAATCAGTTATTTTTTACTTTTTAGTGCTTTTGTTTGAAGTCGGTTTTTATTTTTTTGTTAAAAAGTTTTTTTAATATTGGGGCATTAAAAAAATGGAAAAGGATAAGGTAAGAGAAATAAACTTTAGTCATATGAATACTGATATAAGTTTAAAAGCCACCTTTACGTTGTCCCCGTTAACTTATTTATCGCATCGTATATGGAAAATATGCATAAAATTGCAACAACCATAAAGTGGAAAGCTGTGTAATGTCGCGGTTATGTTATTGATTTATAGTTTCACTGACTTTGAATGATGGTACCGTTCCAATACTTGCGATAGTTTCATGCTCCATACATTTTTATGATATACATATATTTTTATAACGTTACTTATGAAAAGGTATTATACTTTTATATACTTATTTTGAGCAGAGTTCATGGTTATTTATAGATATAAAAGGAGTTAAGTATTTTTAACCGACTTTAAAAAGGAAGAGGCACTCAACTAGTTTTATTTTAGTTGTATACTATATCTACACCAATTTATTTTTTAATAATTAATAATATCTTTTTTGAAATCACTAAAAGTATATAAAATCGTGGTATAATTCTTAAGCGGTATTGTAGCTAATAAATATAAAAACAAAAATTATTTTCAATTTTTTATTTACATAATATAGTTAGAAAAAAAAACAACGCTCGGTACAGTACTTTAGAATAATCCAGTCAAGACACCAATACACTCATTAACATTATACATACACAATTAACACCTACAAATCCTTGTATGAAAAAAGTTTCGGGCTATTTTGATTCATGGACTTGCATAACTTTTATACAATATTGCAAAAAAATATCAAAATCCGTAATAGTATATATTTAATAATAAATTATACTTAATTAAATAAAAAAGTGAAATTTAGCAAATTTTACAAATTGGTAAACATGGACATTGTAATTCTTAGAAACTAGCAATCACGAAATAAAGTGAGTAATGGAACAAAGTTGTAACTAACATTTTACGAGTAAGTGAGAAAGTTAATCTTATCTAAATTTGTTCTGCGTGAAAAGAAATGAATCAATCGTTCTTTACAAGCATAAAAATGTCAATCTAATAACATACATTAAATTATTTAATGGACCTGAAAAACATTTGCATATTTTATTACCTCGGTACATCAAATAGCTTTCGTGGGATATAGCAAAAAATGCTTTAAATTAGAAAAAAAAAATTACATAAATAAATATTTTATGTTTGTGTAAATAATATAATTAAAATGGTAAGCCTTTGGATGAGAAAAAGAATTTAAACAAAGCTTCATAAGGATGTAAAAATACATATTGGAAGATTTATTATTATTTTTATTATTTTTTGGTTTATATACAGCTTATAAAAATACTTTAACATCAGATACTTGTATAACATCAAAAATACACTTAATACGACCAATCAATGGTATAAAATTACTTTACGACTAGATAGAACTAGCATCAAGACAAGTCTTAGTGAGGGATCAGAACAGATTGTGAAACAGGCACATTTAATATCAAATATTTCTCTATCATACAATTTCATTTGTATTCGATAGACTGGTAATCATTACTTACATCTAAATGTAACAACATCAACTCTTTATATTACCATGCAAAAATTTATCGTTACCTAATGTCATTCATAAATTTTATATCTTAGACGCAACTATGGAAAGTAAAAATAGGCGAATGTCAATAAAATAGCATCAAAGTTTTTAGTTTCACATCAAAAATAAAGTCAATTCTCAGCGCTTCAAATTTGGTGACCGTTTGCAATTTTTTTTTAGAAATGCCTCCCAACTTGTTTGGAACATTTTTCATGGTGTGTAATAAATGCTATGCTAGCAGACTTATAAATCATCTAATTATTACCCAAGTATTATATATAAAAATCAGCTTTTATACTATAACGTAAGTAGAATTATAATTTCATGAAAAGGGTGTCTGGCAATGGTTTGCCACGATGTTAAGTGTCTAGCATTGAATGACGTGATTTTTAATAATATTCTGAAGGTAATACCAAAAAATCACACTTTATTATTTGACGAATTTAGATCGGTATTTTACACACCTTTAGTACCGTGTACCTGCCAAAGCCACCATAGCCTGAACTTGATAATGGTCCATCGTTCTTATCTGTGTTGGGAACATGCGCTGACAAACTTTCAGCTTTTATAAAATGACGAAGGTCTGGCGTACACAGGCTCTTAGGCCATTATAAGTAATACTGACATGAAAGTATTTAAATCTAGAAATTGACAATTCAAAAGTGTTTGACAAAGTACATATATTTGATATAAAGTAGACTTTGAGTCTAAAAACCCATTCAGCATTCCTTTACCTTTACATTCCATAGCGTTAACTTTAATCAATGCAGTTTTCTCATCAAAAACGACACTGTTTGCCATATTATGAATGGCATTAATTTATCTCAAATATTTAAGAAACAACATTAATTATTACATTTTTATCATTTCAACAATACATTTTAATCTCAAAAGAACTTGGCCTTAAGTCTCATAAGAATAGAAAGTTGTTTTTAGTAGTATCCTAGAGTGAAAAATATTTTATTCATGGTAACGCCCATGCCTAACTAAGCTAAGCTAGCTTTTACTAGAATAAGGAGAAAAGCGCGAATTTTCCTCGAGTACTCCACCACCGGACAACGGCTGCGCTTAGAGGAGGTACTCTCATTGATCTGGCCTATCAAAGGAAGAACTCGGTGTACTTTCTACTTTTTTCAAAACAATTTTAAAGGCAAAAGTATGTTTGGGAGACACGGAAGCGGGTCGTGGAGTCTCTGGAGTACGCGGTGGCGGATCTGGTGGCATTTCGGACCGGGTTCGCGTTCGTCTTGGTGGATTTCCTATAACCGGTGCTGATAATGGCTCCTTTGGACGTTGTGGAGAAATTCGACTGGGTGATAAATGGCCAGGTGACGGCTCTGGAGTGACAGTTGGTATCATAAGTGGTGGAAGATTTGCACACGGAGAACCTCGAGAACCACGACGTTCTTTTAAAGTCATTGGAGGTGGTGAAGGTTCTGGGGGATCATCTTCAGCAGCTGCTACAACTACAACTGGTTCAGGTGGCTGCACTACAACTTTAGGTTCAGTGTTATCCGATGTTATCGATCTTCTAAAATAATTAAGACCGTTTTCAATTTCTGCCAACGCTCTTCTAACAAATGGAAAGGTTTCCGATATTTCTGAAGTGGATTTCCTTACTGGAAATTCAGTTTCACTGTCACGTTTTCTAGGTCTGCAGCGTTCAAAAGTTGGGTCTCCAGACGCTGCCACTGTCTCAGAAACCTGTCTTGTTAATGCTGCATGTTTTATTGAATCTGACTTTGATCGAGGTTCTCGAGTTTTAGGTGTTGGAGAACGTCGATCGCCAAACTTTTTGCTAGCAGCACGCTTTATAGAGGAGAAGAGACCAAGTTTTTCAGGATGTTTGTCTGATGCGGGTGCGGTAGGTGCAGTGGAAGGTCCGGGGACGGGATCAGGCGCGGGACGGGGGACGTTCCCCTCGCGTTAGTTGTGCCGAGAGTCTGATGATGGACCATCGCTCGATCCGGTCGAGGAGAGGGTTGTGTTAGAGCCATAGGGGTCAAGCGAGGATTGAACGGACATGGAGCGGCCGGCGCGCCGGATTCGTGCCGGAGAGAGCTTGCCTGGATCTACGCTGGCCGGGTCTGCCTGCAACAATAGTGTTTTCAGCACTCCACTATATAATATTACTTATACTATATTGGCAATTTTATTTATTAAGAGACATTATTTTTATAAAATACAAACTATTTTTTTTAAATGCTTAGAATTAAAATCAACAGATATTGTAAACTACTCTGATGCCATTTTTTGAATTTGGAAATATTTTTTGTAAAATTGTGGGTAGGCACTGTCTGTCACAAGTATGTATATAACGCCTTTGAGATGTCTAAAACCTTAGTCTCTCCCGTGACCCTGATTGCTGTAAAGCATTTGAAACGTCGGGAACCAAAAATCAATATAAATCCGCAAAATAATCCAAATAGATAGTTTTATTGAAAATGTCAAATATTCGCGTAAATATAAGAAACTATTATAGGTACTAACTAAAAGTTAGTATATAATATGTACTAATATCAAATATATAATGGCAATAAGTTTTATTCAATATTTTTATAATGTAAATTATCAGATTAAGTTTGTGTAGTACTAAGATCTTATAAGTTTGTTGATTTGTCTATTACAAATATGTACGCATGTACACTACACTAGTTTATAGTGTGAGAAAGTTTGAAATGTGGGATAAATATACTAAAAGCACAATTTTCTTTTGTCTGTTCGTCTGTTCTTTAATCATGAAAATCGAAGTTACTTTATGATTTTTGGGTTTTTCTTCGATTATTTGATAGTTTTAATTCTCGGTTTACCTGCTCCCAAAAGGAACGAAAGTGTGTGAAAACATTCAGCGTAATAATTATCGATATAATACATAAATCGATAATATTTGTATTTTAATTAAAGAAGTAAACGATTGAATCCTTACAGTACTTATTATGTTGCTCTAACTTTTTATGTTTCTAAACTCATTTAGAGAGTAAATATATATATATATATATATATATATATATATATATATATATATATATATATATATATATATATATATTATATAATCTATTATGTACTTCAATCAAGACAACATATTTGTTTTTGTCTAGGGACGAACCGAGGGTGAGTCGTTAGTAGGGTATATAACTTGCATTAAAACGCTACGAACCTGATAAGCCAATGCATTCATGATAATCGAGTAGGGCACCAGACCGAGTGGATGAACTTCTCTCATCAAAACATTTGCAGGGATTTTGTGAAACTGGATGTATTCCAGAAAATTTCCAATCACGTCTTTCAATGACATGTTTGGATTTGTATCGCAATACTTCTTACTCCACATCAAAGCTGCCTGTGAATGAATGTGGAATTATGTATAAGTTATTGGAAAATAAATTAATTTTATTAAGTTAGTATTATATTAGGTACAAAAAATGTAATATTATTTTTACATTTTAAAAACTTACTAATTACTACTCTGCACATCTATATAAATAAAAATGAATCACCGAAATGTATGCGCGCATAACTTCCGATCGACTGCACCAAATTGGATAATTCTTTTTTTTTTGGTATTTGTTATAGTCAGTGAGTTTTGTATAGAAAAAAATTAAAAGATTTTTTTTTACTAAAATAACTTTTTTTAAAATCACATGATATGAAAAGTGAGTAAGTGAAATAGTTTTTATCCCGGAAATCATCCCAAAATGGGGTGAGAATGGGGATAAAAGTTTGTATGAGAAAGCAAGCTAGGGACGAACCCGAGCGAAGCGAGAGCTAGTTATTTAATAATTTAATGGAAACAGACTTATTTGATTATACCATCAAAATATAATGTGCATTCAAACTAAAAAAAATAAGAAAGTTGTAGTCGAAGTTAATCACTGTGATAAATCTCGTAGGCTCTTGGAACAAATACCTATTTGTACGTTTTTACCCGTTATTACGTAATATAAAGAATTAGTCATTTAGGGCATTTTCGTTGTTCTAATGGCTAGTATAATGATCGTGAGGTTACAGATTCAATTCCTGAGTCAAGCCAAAATTGTCATCGAGATTTTTATGCCGCGAAATACTCATTAACAGACATTATATTCATAGAAATTAAAAAAAAAAACTAGTAGGCTTTAAAACCTGTTATAGTATTAAATAACTATAAAGCAAACAAATATTATTTTTTCGATTCACAACTAAAAAAACCGCACTATTTTAAAATTCATAAAAGATGAAGGATCAAAATATAGAAAACCAGAAGGACAGAAAGGTTAATTTTTAAGTTTTCTGTGTTCATCTCATATCTTACCTGAAACTTAGTAAACTCATCGGCTCGAAGCTCCTCTCTTGCGAGTATCAGCCTGACTACATGTTGAGGCAACAGGGTGAACGAACCCAAATTTAGAACATCGTTTCCATGTTCATCAACGAACTCTAGTACCTAGAAAGAAAATAAACCTTGTAAAATAACTAGCAAAGTATTCCAGCATTGTCTGTTTCTTTTAATATTAGGTATGTCTCTCGCAAATAGTTAGTTTTTAGGTACGTTTTGATGCTTAGTATGGAAAAGATATATAGCCTAAGGCCTTCCTCAATAAATGGGCTACCTAATGCAAAAAGAATGTTTCAAATCTGATTAGTAGTTCTTGATATAAGCGCGTTCAAACAAACAAACTGTGCCTTTTTATAATATTAGTATAGATATGAAAATTAATCATGAACAATATAAATCAATAGCCAGAATACAAGTTGTGTATGAAATATACATATATCAATACATCAATTATAGGAATTCAATCTTTTCATCATAATATTACTTTCAACATACGATTTCTATATAAATTGAAAATGTAAGTGAACAAGGAAGGGAGCATTATACTAGAGGCGCCTTAACGTTATTCGATTTCGATACGTTTCACATATTATGTAAATTCATTTAAGCTCTTCATTTATTTAATAGGTGTAAATATAATTTACTCTTAACAACCAACCTTTACTTCACCTGCTTTTTCAACCCCCGACGTAAAAAGAGGGTGTTATAAGTTTAACGTCGATGTCTGTCTGTGTGTGTGTCTGTCTGTGTGTGTGTCTGTCTGTCTGTGGCATCGTAGCTCTCAAACGGATGGTTTTTTCATTTGAAAACCAGTTTCCTTGCGGTGGTTCTTATCTATGTTTGGTTAATATCGGTCCAACAGTGTAAGAGTATCAGCTCTTTTCCAAAATGATGTAAGGCATTTTGGCGTATGATTACTCGATTAAGTGCTTTACGCGTGCCAGTGTAATCAGTAAATGACAATTAATTTGCGTAGGGTTTTTTTTTAATTTTTAATTTATCTATATTGTCACTGATATTTAGATAAATACAAAGTATTTTATGAAATCTAATAATTTTAAATTAAGGTTAAAAATTAAAATTTATCATCCATTAATTTTTATTTAATAAAAAAAGCAGTAAACTCGATGTGATTTATCATCGGCAATATAAACATTAATTTCCATACTTGTAATTTCAGAAATGACAATCTTTTATCTAGTGCTGTGCTAGTGGTGTTAGCTCCTAGTGCTCTCCCATTGCTTGAAATTCGACTATAAACTCGACTATAATCATAATTTAAAACATACGTATATGGATAGAATTTAACTACCCATATAAAAAAAACCTATTTTTATCCGACTTTCAAAAAGGAGGAGGTTTTCAATTTGTCGGAATCTTTTTTTTATATTTTTTTTCCAATATTCTTAACACTAAAGCTCGTCAACAGCTACTTAACAAAAAATCGGTTGTCAAATGGAGGAGAAATAGGTACTAAACTGTTTTGTCTTTGCCTATTTATATATAGATTAGGGGATAGAATATTAATCTCTCATTAGTTCTAACCTTCAATACATAAGAATATAATGTAAAATTTCATATTTCTAAGCCCAGTGGTTTATCCAGTAACGTAAAATAAATAATTTGTATTACCTATATTGTGCTATTCTTATGTTACACTAGCATTGCCCGCGGCTCCACCCGCGTTCAGATGACCAAAAACCAAATTCTTAGGTTTACATTGCAGTTTTTGTATTTTTTCTCAGAAATGAGATATTTTCCCGCGGTCATTATTCTATATGTTGACCCGAATAACCAGCTATCACCATACCAAATTTCATCAAAATCCCTCCAGTGGTTTTTCTGTGATGCGGTAACAAATAGACAGACAGACAGGCAAAAAATCTAAAAACTATATGTTTCTGTATCGATAATAATGTTTATTTCGATAAGATTTTCCAAAAAATATTTAATGTACAAATTCGGCTTCGTTACAATTTTATTATAAGTATAGATTTTGACTTTTAAGTTGAATTATAAAGAATTGCAATATTATACTTTCTCCAATACTTTTAAGAAACTTTTTAAACTGAACGATGTGTATTAAAACTTTATTTGAATAAATACTAGAATATATAGTATAATTATTATAATTAATACAAAATGATTTTTATATGACGTTTAACAATTTCAAATTACTTCATATAAAACCTTTAAGTACCTTTTGTACTAATGATTTGGTGCATTTATATTGGATGTATCTCTCAGCGGACGCTAAAAGAGCACACACGGTATCAACTGTGATGCAGCATTGAACAAAACCTGCGCATGCGCGTCGTAGCTCATCTAAACCGTAGTAATCTGCAGCATTCATTACACCTGAAAAATACAATTTATGATATATAATTTAAATTTGTGAAATTTTTAAAATACAAACGTATTTTTAGTTTTTCTATAATGAAATAAATAAATATAATTTATGTAATGTTTGTTTCATTAATTTTATAAATTTAAACTTGATTTAGATAACGCATTGTAAATTGTTTAAATAAAATTACTATGGCAACGCAATCAAATATGATGGTATTGGAAAAGATTACTAGAATGCTACTCGTATATTAATATCTAAATGTCTTATTTTCATTTATACGAAAATAATTTTAAAATAAAACTCAATTCGATTATAGTTAAAGGTACCTATTCAAAAATATATTTATTATAAACTAGGGATATAAACTGGGTACGTTTACATTAAAATGGATATATGTAGTATGTTATCCTTAAGAAATAGACATATCTCATCGCGGAATTTTCTGTAAACCTATTTTTATAATAATTTCATTGAATCAACAAAAAGTTAATCGTTATGGTGGTGTGCTATGGTTAAAGTAAACACAATAATGTATTCTCTATTTCTGTCGACAATTCAACACCATTAAATCGGCCCGAGACCGACGGCCTTACGTGCTCTATGAGGCTCGGAGAGGAACACCGCCAAATTTCCAACTCCGAGCTGTTGCTGAAATTTTCTCGACAGAAATACTCCCTTGCCCGAACTGGAACTCGACCTATAACCTCCAGATCTACTACCATAAATACTGGCCGCTAGACTATCGAGCTATTGGTCAGTGGAGTACAACAGCTCTAAAGTCACATATTATACGTTTCCCGGAATATGGATCTTATAACAATGATTACTGACACACTCACGTTAAGCAAAGAGCGCTTACCTAGGTGAAATTGTGTAATATGACAAATAAATAATAATAAATAAATATAAATATGTTGGGACGTTAACACACAGCACCATCTAGTTCCATGCTACGCTACGAGGCTTGTGTTATGGATACCAGATAGTTTATACATTACACATATATTACTTTAAATATATACATATTATAAATATAAACATTCGTGCTCATCACTCAAATGAATGCCTCCAGCGGAACTCGAACCCGAGACCGCTGGCACAGCAAATACTGTCACTACAAACTGAGCCAAACGTGCTGTCAAATAAAACCAGCTTTAAAAATTAATCTCGGATTCTCGATATGCATGTTTAATTTTATCCAAACCTGTGAAATAATTGATGCGTAATCAAATATTAAACATGACACAAGTCACATCTATGTACATTGTGCCTAATATAAAAAATCTGTCTCGTGGATTGGGTACTCACTATTTGCAAAATAAAATTAGAATTTTTAACAAAGTTATATAACAATAGAATTTACTTCATAATAATATTTTTAATTTGCATCGGTGGCGAGAGAATTAAGTTACGGTAATGAATTTAGTGCAGAGAGGATGTCGCTACAAAGGAACGTTAGAACTTAGTTAAGCACGAGGCTATATAAGTGCATTATTGCAAGCTCGATATGGCAAAGTACTTTCAATTTAACTTATTATAAACTATTATTAGTTAAGACTATTAGGCGGAAAGCTTATAAAAGCTCAATATTGTAATTTCTCTAACAAGAAATTGATAGATATTTGACAATAATCTCACTAGCGGCTCGCCCTTGCTTCGCTCGGGTTCGTCCCTGAATAGGTACATTTTAACGATTCGTGTGTAATAGCTATTCTATATATTATATAAGCAATAAAATTACCTTACGGTGAAGTAAAACATTATGAAGAAACCTGCATTTTACTAGAACTTTACTAGTTTTCGAAAGACATATGAAAACCCTTCTGATCCCACTCCCATTGAAGGGAGGTCCATTCAAAGCAGTGGGACGTTAAAAATAATATATGAGTATATCAATAAAGTCAATGGTCCAATTAACGAAGTTAATAATTCAGCCTTATCTGATGGAGTGCCCTAATCAAACACTCGAAACCGTAATGAAATATTATCTCCATTTGATAAAGAGGATTTGCTATAAATGGAATCCTTAATAATCGTCTAATAGGACGATTTATTACTTTCTTAGATTACGCTTCAGTAGAATTGAAAGAATTTATTTCTATTTCATTGAACATTTAAGGAGGAGAGTCTACATTTTTAATTTTTTTCTTAAGCTTTTCGTATAAGCTTTAGATTTGCGTGTATAGATATATAATGAAGATAATATATAACCTGTCTGTGATTCTATGTTTAATGAATTAATATTTGTACATAAAGAATTTATAATTATGTTTATACAAAAGAAATGACTTATGACATTGGTATTTCACACTGACTCCCCCTTAGAGCCGCGTTGTCAGGTTCAAAGTCTGCTTTGACAAAGTAGCTTTGACAAAAAGCCTTGAATCGAAGTTCTGTTTGATAAAATTCCACTTTGATTGAACGCCGACGTCAAAGTGCGCTTTGATTGCTCGTTTACACGATCAAAAGCTTATTTTTGACGGATTATGATTCTGGTGTAAATTTTTTGGGTATTAAAGGCACGAAATCTCGACTAATTATTATGAAACGATTATCATGTCTCTTTTAAATCATGTATTTTATAAAAATCCGCTACTGTAAGTAAAATATTTAGTTTTTAAAATTTGATCTTTGTATATATATATATATATATATATATATATATATATATATATATATATATATATATATTTATATATAGGGATATATATTTGGGTAAAGAATAAACTGTTTGTTTTTTTTCAATATCTTTATCCTTCTTTAGGATTTAAGTGACAATTAATTCTATTATCCATACGACATTTCATTAAATTCGATCTAACAAACTACATTCGCAGTCGATTCGCATATTATCATTTTATGGATTTATAAAGATCCTATTTAGTCGTTCTATACAAAATAAATAATAACATTGTTCATTGAAAGTTAGTCTTAGTATAAGATCTATAATTCACTATCTTAACATCAAAGATAGACAAAACTTATCCTTGAATGACCGTCTCGTTTGCTTCAAGCATTTAATATACCTAAGTGCCGTTAACTAAGTTAGTTCGATAACCCAGTACCGTTGCAAGCTAATAAACTTGTTAGTGATGTAACTATTGAAATATATTTCCGTATATGTTTTATTATCTAGAAAATCTGCCTACTACTACCCTAATTAGGATATTCGAACACAATTATTAAAAAAATATTCTAATATAGTGATGGCGCCTGCCATTAATTTGGAGGTTAAAAAGTCCACTTACTCGTCTAGCTATAATTCTATCTTCTAGAAGCATGCAACGTTAAAAAAAGCTTAAAATTATGTACTAAATTAAGTTTTCATTTCATAATTAACCGTTAAGTTTACAAAAAATATTTTAACATTTAATATATTATATTTTATGTCTTTTGATCTATGTATTTCGGTGACCAATCTCACTGAGACTCGACATCTGCGCAGATATTTTAGTGCACAAGTTTATGCGGTAACACAAGTGAACTCTCAATTTAATTCAATATTCCTTTTAATGGTTTCAAATCGTACCAGTTGAGCATAGATTACTTTACGTACAAGAAACGAAGGAGATGGGTCGGTAAAATAAGATCATAAAACTAAATTAAATTATAATGTATAAGAGGTAGTAAATCCTTAATAAGCCTCCCTACAACAAAAGAGAGGACAATTAATATATACATAAGAACCTTAATTAAAGTGAACTTTGAACTCTCTATAACCCAACACGATGATAGTTTAAATCGACTAGTGAGAGATCATATTATGTAAGACAGAAGACTGTGACTCTAACAAGGCACTGAAGATTTTTAATAGGTAAAAACAATACATAGCCTGGTCATGATTTGCAGCCAGTAAGTAGTATATATACATTGTAGCAGTAGACTAGCCAGACAATCAAGTGTATAAAGCCTTGATTGAAGATTTTACAAGAAAATTCAAACCAAAAGCCTAACCCCTAACAGACGTATTGTAATAAAGTTGTAATGAATTTTGCTTAATAACTTTTACACCTTCATCAAAGTCACCATAACATTTAACTGTTGAGCCTTGAAAAGATGAATTTTCAACTGTGATTGAGTATTCCTTAAGTTCAAAGGCATAAAGCTGTTACTCAGAACTTTATGGAAGTAATGTCATTTTCGCTAAGCCATAAATGTTTTATGTCAATACCTATCGCACCCGCCCTCACTATTAAATCGGAAATTGAATTTTTGGACCTGCTTACCTTTTTCACGATGACCGAACGTAAAATTACATTGAAAGTTGTGAAAGATTGCCAAAATATAAATGAATTTTCTTAAAGATAAAAGATTTAAATCTTCAATTTTATTTTTTAAGCATTTTCAAATTTAATAATGGGAAGGTATACCGTATAGAAGAGATTATGGAATGTAAGTAAAATTAACTTTCGAAGATTATTTCTGTATTAGCTAAATAAATATTATTCAAAGTGAATATTTTATTAAAAATTAATTTGTTTTAGTTAATTTTTAACTGTAGTTGTCTCTACGCGAAAGAGCTAAATTAATACACCAAGACCTCCGGGTGTGCAGCCGTACATGCTAGCAACTACACCACCAAGGCAGTATATTCAAACGTATAAATAGATATTAAATATATAATAAGTTAATTTATGAAATACTATGGAAAGATATGAATGAGTCTTAAGCCAACAAAACTTTTTCTCGTAAACACTCGACGGTAAAATTCCAAAGATTGATATTACGTCTATTTGCTTGGGTAAATTGATTTTACGACTGCGTCCTTTTGTAGAAGGGAGATCTGATTTGGTATAATAGAAAACAAAACAATATTTCGAAAAGCACTTACCTAAGAGTGTCCTAGGTTGAAGGGTAACACATCCTGTATGTATATACTCAATAAGCTGGCGAAATACATCAGGTTCAAATTCTTCGATTATAAGCGTCTGGTGTTGTTGAGAGGAAGGCTGTTACCAAAAATAATAAGAAAATTTTAATGACATCATAACATTTGATATTCCAAAAAATAAATTATTTGAACAACAATATAAGAATTATCGAAAACACGTAAACATTGATTTATGAAAAAAAAACAATTGAAAAATATATACTTAGCAAGTGTACGCTGTGTCAATAGTAACGAGAATTTGTGTATAAAATATGCAATATGATACATATTTATAAAACTTATATAATATGTAAATTGTATAGTGAATAAGCTCACATTTACATTTTGTAGGATCTCTTCATAAAATAAAAGAATTCTATAAAAAAATAATTTTCATTGTGGTATTGTTTTTATAGCAGATCGAAGTATTGTGGAGCGTGTATTGAATTTGCAAGTAGTAAAGAATAATTGCTGTGCTGGAACTATAAAATATTAAGCACCAAAAATGAAATTACATGCTAAAAGTGCTAAAAATATCAAATACTTATTAGTTATAACGATCTAACATAAAAACGGTTGAAAAATCAAATAAATATCAACGTACAGCTTTTCCCGTCATAAATGAGGTTACATTAGAAACTTACAATAACATGCAACTTCAAAGTAATATTGGTAAAAATTTATAATATAACAATAATTAGATTTAAATTGGACGTTATCAAAGTATATAACTACACTAACGTGTGAATCGTACAAATGAGCAATATTAACAGATCTTAAAACCTTCTCCTAGTACATCGTCAATTTTGATTTACCTCTTGAATTGGAGCCAATTGCTGCGCGAAAGTTGATCTCTGCATTGCACATGATAAAAATAAAATTTGTTAAAATTTTAAATCTCTAACTGAGCCAGCTTAATCAAAAACCACGAATAGAAGAACCCAAAGAAAAAGATGATTGTAGGGAAAGTCAGCAACGAAGTCTGGAATTATGTTTATGTAATAAACAAAACACGGATATTTGTGGTATATTTTCCATGTAAAGTAAATATATACACACATTCTTTTAATATTTCTCTATTCTTGATTAAAACCTTGTTAATAGCCTTTTATATAAATTGCATTTTTGACAGATTTTGTAAGAAACAGAAAGTATTGCCATTAAAGGCGTACAATTCAATGCACGATTTTATTTCAATTTGGAATCAAATAGTTTTAAATAATCCATACATTGCTGCAACGGCCATAGTAACATTATTAGAATTTCAATTTTTTTATGCTCTTATTTTCTTTATATTAAAGGATAAATTCTATAAAATACGGTAACCTCATAGAATCTCTCGTAGACTCGCGTCTTTTGTCTTCTAATTTTCAGGAAAAAAATAATATATAGTACATATATTTGAGTTAAACGATCGAGAAAAAGTAAGGGTTAATTTGAGAGGAAGCCCTATTTCACACGAAACCAACTCAAATTTGACCAATTTTAGTCAATTATTTCATCCCTTACATCTACCTATACTAACTGTGTGGTTTTGAAATACTGTATTAGGTTCTCATCACATTTGAAACCTATTCAAATATATCGGGTGTATAATCAATTTTGTGGATGAATGCTTTGATATAATTTAGGCGAACAAGTCAGTGAAATAAATTTTACTCCAAATAATAGTATAGATGAATATTTTCACCTGTTGGGCGGCGTTTTGAAGATTTAATAAAGGCTCAGACGATCTCTTCAAGAATAGTCTTAGCTTATTCTCTCGTGGTGCTGGTTCCTTCTTTCTTTGAGGGCTTGGTGCTTGGTAGAGCATTTTTTGGAAAACCCTGAAAAAATCTTCATGTTTACAATCAACCGTAATGATAAATTGAACTAGCGAGTGAAGCGTCTCTGCTTCAAGTTTGGCAAAATTTGCTTTCTTCTGTCAGTTTGTTGGTACTCCTCTACAGGTCGTATTTTACAACTAATGTAGACGAAATTTGGTATACAGGTTTTATGACTTTATAGATTTTTTTATCGTCCGGGATTTTTGTTTGGAGGGGTACTTCCTTTCTCCAAAAAAGGGACTACTGGATATCTCCGCCTTATGAGATCCGATTTCGATGGTTCGTTTTTTATTTAAAAGGTAGTAACTTTAAACTGGTCTCATAAAAATTTAGTAGATATCTAATGAGGATCTTTGGCATGATGAGCAGAACAGCTCCTCAAAATGCAGTTCGCAGAACTATGTACTAGTATTTATTTTATTTCTTTGTATTGTACCATAAGTATTCTACATACCAAATAAAGAAAAGTTATTATAATTATCTTTATTAGAGTTTGGTCTCGTGTTCTGCGCTATCCCGAAATGTTTTAATCCTAAAATAAATTTTCATAATAAAAATTTCATCATTTTTATGTGGAAATTTTTTTCGCTTCTTTGTCAGTGCCGAGAGAATGCATGATAGATACAGGTTCTTAACACAGTATCTGTTTATATATTCAGTTTGAGCATAGTCTCATAATTATCATCTGGTATACAGAAATATTTAGACACTTTACTTATAAGAAACAACTTTGTAACTCAGCCCAAACGCAACGGCAATAATCAGTTATCACACTGTTGCTTGTTTGTATCCATATCTATTTGGATAGAATCCAAACTCTGCTGCAGTACGCTATGTAATTAGTACAACATCAACTACAGTAGTATATAGTAATATTTACTTATAGTTAGGCAACTATAAATAAATCTATATTAATACTATAAAGACGCAGAGTTTGTTTATTTGTTTCCATGTCAGTTTGTTTGCTTGTTTGAACGCGGTAATCTCAGAAACCCCTAATCCCATTAAAAAAAATCATTAGATAGCCCGTTTATTAAAGATGGCTAAAGGTATCCGCTACGGTATATATCATCATGCTACTACCTAAGCAGAACAGTAATATATTGTCTATCTATTCTATACTAACCGTTAAAACGTACCTAGGGATGAACAGAGCGAGGGTTAGTCGCTAGTCTTATTATATACTACTCTAGTTGAAATATTATAGTTAAATAAATATTAAATTACGATATATACATATTTAAGTTGCTGAAGGCTCTAATTAAATTTACACACTTAACGACGTGCAAACCTTAAACGTGTTTCAGAATAATTCCATCTTTACGCTATAAAGTGAATACAAACACGAACTCAAAGCAAACGACGTTTATACAAACATATCTTAAAATGGTTCAAATTTAAGCATCCAACTAAAAAGCGGCACAAATGCTCGCGGTATTTATAAGCTCTTTTCTTTTTGAGATCTAGGCGAATAATACTAGCGTATTTCTACAGTTCAAAACATTTTAACTCTGTTAGGTGTTCTTTAATATGCAATAATGTCAGAACTGTTATTTCGTGTCTTTTCAATGCTTGCCTATAGTCATTCTTAAATGTAGGTCATGTCATATAATATTTATGAATATGGAATATATTATAATACATAAAATAAAATATAGTGAGCGTGAGTATTTTGTGGAATTAACGTTGGCTCGGAAAATTTCCGAATGGGATTAATTTTATTATTTAAATTAATCTTTTAAATAACATTCAATGTTTACGGTATAGTCTTTGCTAATATTTTTATTGAGTTGGTGTGTTTGTTTGGTTGCCCATACGTTTCGCAGTCAAACAGACAGAGGACATGACGTGATCGATTTAGGTTACTTTTCTCAGTACATCTTATATTTTCCGTGGGATAGTAATAATAATGTTCTCCTGACCGATTCCGGCCACGGCGGCCAATCTCATTGAGACTAGCCAACTGTGCAGGAGATATTATAGTGCACAAGTGTACGCGCAGACACAAGTGCACTCTCTATTCCTGTCACTCTCATACTCCGGTGGGACGACACGAGACACGACCGGTGAGAGTTAAGGTGCAGGACTGACGGCTTTACGAGCTCTCCGATGCAGGGGGGTGAAACACCGCCAACTTCCCAACTCCGGGCTGCTACTGAGGCTCACTATACAGAAAGACTCAATAACTGAACTTGGCCCGACCCAGGACTCGAACCCAGGACCTCCGGGTGTGCAGCCGTACATGCTAGCCACCACACCACCGAAGCAGTGAGATTTCCGTGGGATAGTTTTGATGTAGTTAAGGCTAAATCAAATTAAAATTTTGTCAGTAACTATTAAGAATAGTCTTTAATAATAATTTACCTGCTTCTCGCTGCAAGAACAGCTTTCACGGCACACACGGGTTCCCTTGTGTCCCCTACCAAGAAAGTGACATCGCACAACTCTGGCATAGAAGCAAGAAATTTCATATCTTCAGCGAGTCCTGATTTATTTTCGAAAGTGCTGAGGTCGGGCTCGGCCTCCATTGCTACTAGCGCTCCGCTTCGCATTGACGACTGAAAGAAAATTAGTATCAATTTAAAATATATTTAGGGTTCCGTACCCTGGGCCCTTACTTTTCCGTATTAAACCCTAACATTAAATAAATAAAAAAATAAGGGATAAATATTGAGATAAAAGAGAAGCTCTCATTTCCAACCATTTGTTGCCCATACAAGTGTCCAATTTGATGATATATTTATATATCTATACTAATATTATAAAGAGGTAAAGTTTGTGATATTGTGAGTTTGTGACGATGTAGGGAGTAATCTCTGGATCTACTGAACCGATTTTCAAAATTCTTTTGCCAAAAGAAAGCTACGTTCTTTCTGAGTGTCATAGCGAAAAGACTTTTTCATGGTAGTAGGATTTGCAAAGTGAGTCGGAGAAAAAACGGTCGAACGAAAACGAATATATATATATATATATATATATATATATATATATATATATACTTAAAAATAATATACTTAAAAACTTATAATTAAAACTACTCAAGTATGAGATCCACTTTTAATAGGGGTTTCATTAGTTATTATTTGTGCTGATATTATTATATTTAAAGCATGACTTGATTTTTACTTAATTCATACTAAAAGAACCCGCGGCTTTGCTCGCGCTAAAACTAAAAAAAAACTCTAAAAAGGTGGGTTTCGTACAAACTTTCATCCCCTATTTTACCCTCTTATGGGATAAATTTCGAAAAATGCTAAAACACATATTTATATATTAATTATTGTATTGCAGAGCATTAATACCAATTTTCAAGTAATTCTGACCATAAATATGTTTTGGGATGTATTATAACGTGTTTTCTCATGAGAATGAAATAATCTCACACAAAAAAATCACGCTAATATGGTACTTTTAATTCTTTTTTTAGATTTACGCGAACATTTTACATTTTGTACCCCATAAATCAAAATAAATCCGCGAAAAAATCCGAAAAGATAGTTTTATTTAAAATATTTATTTTATAATTTACTACTACTTACTACAATTGCAAGCATTAGTCCATTTTATATATTTTTTTTTAAATCTACAAATTGATGTCTTCAGTGCCTTGAAAAATGGAAGGTTTCTCTATTCTTGAATCGATCAATAACTCAGTCTATGACGTTTACGAAGAAAGCAGTAAAAGTACTCTACAAGTGGAAATTTATATTTTTATATTACTTTTTAAACTTAAAAAGTAATTAGTGTTTCAAAGTCTATGAAGCTTTTGGTGCTTAGAAAATGAAATGAAGAAAATTTATTTAAAAAATATAATATAATAATTTTTTGTTTTTTTCTATGACTTTTCAACTGTTTGTTTTCATTAAATATTTCAACTGCAGTTTTATAGTAATTGGTAGTTTGAAACGTTTATTATTTGTGATTAATTCAAATAAAATTCTGTTCTCTCATTTATTCATAAGAATTAATTATTAGGGAAGGATACAATTTGAAACGGTTTATAAAGCACTTTTGTCTTTTAAAAATACACAAAAATCTATAGAATCAAGTTTATATAACTTGAATTTTGCTTAGAAAAAGCTTTTAAAGAATTCAAAGTATTATTTAAGTATAATTTGCGTCTCATAGATTAATTTGTACATCAATAATTTGTATAATGGAAAGCAGTTTATCATAAAAAAATTCAAACGAAAAATTCACTATTGTAGCGATAATTGAATGTCACTTAACTGCCCGACAAACCAATTATGGCAATCGTTCATATAAAATTATAGACGAGTGATTTAAAATGGCTTTAAAGTTAAATTGCAATGATGAAAATATTGATATATATATATATATATATATATATATATATATATATATATATATATATATATATATATATATATATATATATATATATATATAACTTTTATGTATTGAATATAAGATTACTCAACTTTGCAAGAAACTATAAATATTGTATTCAAGGTACATAAAAAATAAAAAAAATCATTGAAAATTATATTAATTATATATGATAAAATTATATTTCTTGCTAGCTTGTCACGTTATTTTAAAGTGAAGTGCCAAAAATACAATAATCCCATTATTAATATTATAAATGTGAAAGTTGAAAGTTTACGCCAGAACGGCTGAACGGATGTGGATGAAATTTGGCACTGATATATAGTCTGGAATCACACAAAGGTTATTTTCTATCCCGGAAAATTGTACGGCTCCCGTGGGATAGAGTTATTTTTGTTATTCACAAGGAATGAACCCGAGCGAAACGAGGATAAGTTGCAAGTAATAAATAAATGAAATATGAAAATTAGAATTGTTATTATATTATATTAGATATTATTTAAATGAAATTTATTCAAAAATATATAAAATGTTCTTAATACTCACTTCGTCCAAACTGAAGTGTCTCGTTATTGTAATATCCATTTTTAAAAAGAAATACTTCTATTGGTTACTTCGATTGGGAGTCAAACGACCTTTCAAAGCAATGTCTGCAAAGCGACTGAAAGAGGGAAATGAGAGAGCTGCGAGCCCCCGTCGTGTAAATGAAATAGTACTTGGTCCAAGTTAAACGGAATTAAAATATTTTATATGTTTTATTCTATGAAAGATTTTAAGAAAAAAATTAGAGGATTTTAACTTATTTATGACTAAGTAATTTATTTTAATAGTTTTTTATTAGGTTTATTGCAATCATAACCGCTTTTTTCTTCTATACTTAAAGATCTACAGATTGTCAAATGGGACATCTAAAATCCTATATAATATAAGAAAATAAATAAAATCGAACAAATATGTTAGAAGTCACAATATTACGTAAATGGTACTAATAAATAGGCAAAAGATTCAAATCATTGAATATTTTATCACTTCTTCAAGCTATAACAGCATTTAAGTGAAATGTGGAATGGAAATGGGTGATTTTATCCATAATATCACTTAGACTATATCTTATCAAAGTACTTACCCCATAAATGAAACGAAACTTAGTGTTTTCTTAGATTTACACGAATATTTAACATTCATACTAATATTATAAATGTGTAAGTGTGTTTGTTTGTTTGTTTGTCCTTCTTTCACGTCGAAACAGAATTTTTCAGAACGGATTGGCGTTATTTTGGATGGAGATAGTTGCAAGGTGGTATTGACATAGGCTACTTTTTACCGCGAGAGAACATCTCATTCCCATGGGAAAACACGTTATAATACAACCCAAAACAACTCATGATACCTATGTATATACATTTATGTATAATGATATATAATCTATGTATATACCTACACATATTTATAATATATATAGTCTATCTATTCCATACTAAAAAAAATGTCCTGTAACCCTTTTGTATTTACATCAATAAAAGTATTATTATTATACTAACTAAAAAGTAACTCGAGACGAACCCGAGCGAAGCGAAACCAGGATGAGTCGCTAGTTATAATATAGATAACACTATCTTTTCAATTTTTTTCGGGGATTTATTTTTATTTTTGATTCCCTACGTTTAGAATGGTGTCCAGCAATTATGATCAAAAGACAGTCTCTACCGTAACAAAATTGTTATATTTAAAATCTAATGTATTTAAGCAAACAGTTTAAATATTGTTAGTTATTTCACAAAAAACTTAGTAATTTAAGATTTCCCTTTGCTTATTTACTCTTATAATCTCGTATATGATATATAAGAATTATATATTTCTGTTAAAAAGAAGTAGCAGCTTTCACCAAGTCTCTTTAGACTCAGATATTGTTGTATATTATTATTTATGTATAAATAGGCAAAGACACAACAGTTCAGTGCCTTTTTCCCTTTTTCCCCTCTGTTTGTCAACCAATTTTCTTTTTTCTTATGTTTAATACCTATTGAAGAGCTTTAGTGTTTTCAATGAGAAAAAATGTCGAATTTCAACCTCTGAGTAAATACTAGTAAATCTGAAAAATATGATCAGAAATCAACTATGCGATACAACAAAATATATATGAAATGAGTAGATTTATTACTATGCCGGATGGTCACGAATGAAAAATGAATTTATTAATAATAGACTGTGAGTTGAAGATTCCAATTGTTTTATAAACTATGGGGAATCTTGAGATATTTACCCTTTGATAGAAATATCAAATAGTAATGAAATGTCTGCATTTCTTATATATAAAGTGGAATTTAAAAAAAACAGTTTATATTGTACTTTCATTGTTTATATAATATGTTTATAATTTTTCAATAGCAATTGTTATCCAGTAGTTATTAAGAGATGAGTAAGGGTTATCATGGGTTAATTATAGCTTTTATTATGGGTTTTTGTTTAACAAAAAGTGCACTGTCTATGTTGATGCTATATGGCCAACTTCCTGACTGTGTATTATTACTGAGAATTTCTTGACAAAACATTCAATAATTATACTTGAAACTCACTTCCCTACTTGGATTCGAACCCAGAACCTGCGGATCTGTAGTCATACATTCTGGCTTCTAGATAAGCTTAACAGTTTATATCTCTATTCTATGCCTGGTCGTAAGTGGTAAATACACTTCAACAATACGCCAGCGCTTTCAAAGTGAGCTTTTCCATAAAGTGAAAATTGAAATAATATAGTTCGATAAAAGCTATTTTCTCTACAAGTAACGTACTGGTGAAAGACTAAGTAGTATTTAACTTTACATACTAGGATTGACAAGCATCTTTACTCCCAAAGAGCCCACAAATTTAAATATGTTGGGACATTAAGACACAGCGCCATCTAGTTCCATGGTAAGCTACGAGGCTTGTGTTATGGATACCAGATACACTACACATATATAACTTTAAATACATACATATTATAAATATTATCACCCATGACTAGAGTACAAACATTCGTGCTAATCACACAAATGAATGCCCCCAGCGGGACTCGAACCCGCGACTGCTGGCACAGCAAGTATGGTCACTACAAACTGAGCCAAACATGTCGACAAGATATTAAACTATTCAAGAGTTACTCATGGTGATAGTTTTTAACTTGTCTGTATTACTAATTAGTTTTTTTTCTCATGATAGATATTCTTTCTTTTTCTTCCTTCTTTTGTTGCTTTAAGTAACTAATTATAATAGTGTATTTAATTTTTTTGTTTATAAGTGATAGTGCTGTTAATTTTTTTTATTTTTTTAAATGCTCCATAATATAATTGTTTATGCATGTCGTGGTTACCTATAAGTATGATAACAATTGGATTTAGACCTCTTTTGTACAATTATTGTGTATTTTTGTTAAGTTACTGTATATCATGTTGGTGATCCTAATTATATGAATAAATAAATAAATAAATAAACAAGCAATCGTGACCGAAACCGTGATAGTATCGACCAACTATTTATAAAAATGGTCATGCTAAAGTGGATAGCATTAGGGATTGTATGTATTCAGCCCTTTTTTTTAACGTCCCACTACTGTACCTCCCTTCAATACGAGAGGTAAATCTCTCCAAACCCCACCTAGAGTATTCTTAAAATAGTCCCAATTTTAAAATCATAAACTCTAAAATTTGAACGCATACTCATGTAATGGAATCAGTCATTAGCAAAATATTTCGAGGGGTATTTCTTTATATTTGGCCAAAAATATCTTCAAGTGACTCGTTTTAGGTACTTCTGTCTTTGAAAAGAGTAACTTGAGTTGTTTTCTTTTATGTTTTACAACTGGTCTTATTTTTATATATCCTATACTATGCATCGATACATGAGAGACTGATTCAAACTTTTTAATTAAAAACATAATTTTCTATTTGAAAACACTTCAAAAGTCTCAAAATTATAATTATGGCACGCTTAAAAGACAATTTAAGGAACAAACCTTTAAGTATAACTTATTCATAAGAAGAAAATTCAGTTCAAAGTTAGTAAATACATTGCGTAGCATACAAAAAAAATACACACGAACATCTGCACTTGAGTATCTCGCTATTTTAAAGTCTAACAAAACTATACCAATAAAGCCCTAGTAAAATGAAAACCAAATTATTATTTTATTGATTTAGAATGAAATAGTTACTATTACACACACTTCACTCACTAATACTACAACTTTCAACAATTTCTATAACGTATAATAATAATTACTTTTTTTGTAAATCATAGCTTTTTTGTCGAATATTTTGTTTTCTGTGTTATTGATGTTGAAAATTCTATTTTTTTTTGTATTATTAGAATTGATACAATTAATTTAGCATATACAATTGTAGCCTGTTGCTAGAGAGGTGGGCGTTCATAACTGCGACTCAGTTGTATAACAAATGCAGTTATTAACATAGAAACTGTTTATGATATTATATGCGAAAATGATGTTCTTAGTAAATAAAATAAATAAATAAATATTATAATATGTTAAAACAATATTGGAAAGGTACAGCAGAAGGCTTTATTAAATTACTAGAGGCTCACCCTCGCTTCGCTCGGGTTCGTCGCTAGGTACGTTTTAAATAGATATTAATAGTTATTAGCCAGCGTTAGCCATATATATTTTAATTTTTTTTCGTCATGTTTTAACAGTTAACCATCAAGTCAAAAACCATGAAAAGAAAAGTGTTCTAACAAACCCGACTTTGTTTTATTATTATTATCTATATTAAAGATTTTAATTTTGACATAGTTCAAGCTTAAGAACAATGTGGGTAGATGAAATACGAGTATATACGTATTTCATAAACCATGTTGCCCAAATAAAGCCTCAAGGGCTCAATAAGCGATCAAATAACTTTTCAATTATTACATACTAGCGGTTACCCGTAGTTTTGACCGTGTATTTTATTTAATATGTGTAATTACTCCACTCTTGTGAAAATCGTGATGTTACATATTTTATAAATGCAAGGAGATTTTTCTATTTCTCTTCAAACCTGATTGATAATTTGAAAGATATGACGACACGTTTGGCTCAGTTTGTAGTGATCCTATATGTTGTGCCAGCGGTCGCGGGTTCAAGTCTCGCTGGAACATTCATTTGTGTGATGAGCACGAATGTTTGTTTTCCAGTCATGAGTGTTTATATTTTTAATATGTATGTATTTAATGTTATATATATGTAGTGTATTAACTATCTGGTATCCATAACACAGGCCTCGTAGCTTACCATGGAAATAGATGGTGCTATGTGTTAATGTACAAAAAAATATTAGTGCGTTTAAACAAATAAATAAAAAATATCTCTTAAATGATGTGTTACATAGAAGGATCAAGGTCCTCGACACTGCCCGCCAAATCTTCAAGCTTAAGTGGGCGTGGCATATCGCTCGCAGGACACTGATGGTCGTTGGGAACGAAAAGTTCTCGGTCGCGGCCACGTACCGGAAGGAGAAGCGTACGAGGTAGACCGACGACTTGGTCAAAGCCACTAGATTCCACTGAATGCGGATGATACAAGATAGTTACCGATAGATACCGATAGTTGTGAAAATCTTTGGGGGGAGACCTATGTCAGCAAGCTTTGTAATATTGGAATAAACTAGTTAAATAATTTCTGATAGTCTGCGGTTCCAAACGTTAGTCAAATAAACTGTAGAGTGGAATTAAACTGAGACAACATATCGTCTTTCAACATCAGGTTTCTAGAAAGAAAAATCTGTAAGTATTTTTGTCTCATTTCATTTATAATCTATACTAATATTACAAAGAGGCAGAGTTTGTTTATTTTAACGCGCTTATTTCAGGAACTACTAATCCGATTAGAAAAATTATTTTTGCATTAGATAGCCCGTTTATCTAGGAAGGCTATTATATACTATATATATAATACTAACCGTTAAAATATACCAAGGGGCAAACCCTAGCAAATCGATTCGAGAAGGAGTTGCTATTGTTAATAGACAAATAGAAACGTAACTAAAATTCGTCATTGTGATCGAAATTTAATCAAGAGTATTTTATAGCATAACTTTCTTGTTGATTTAACAGATTAATAATAATAATAATATTCTTTATTGTACACCAAAATAAATATAAAATAAAAAAAACAATACAAAGAAAAGATGCACAGCAGGCGGCCTTATCGCTGGAAGCGATCTCTTCCAGGCAACCTTGAGGTGGAGGAGTAAATGTTCATAAAAACGGTAGGCGGTGTACTTGCTTTAACACGTTTACTATATATAAATACTTATAGATAAATAGATACATACATACATACATACATATATACATACATACATTCATACATACTTATATGCGTTAAATTTACACACACACACATAAAAAAGAAAAAATCAATCAAATAATAAATAGGATTAGATACTAGAACATAATAGAGGAAATAATAATAACGATGATATTAGGAGAAAGGACTAAGGGAAAGACTTAAAGAGACATATAATAATCTTTTAATAACTTTTTAAATTTATCTAAGCTTTTAGCAGATCTAATGCTTAAAGGAATAGAATTCCACAATCGAGCAGCTTTTACTGTAAAAGAATTTGTGAAGAAACAGGAAGAGTGAGTAGGAATTTTAAGAAGGAAATTTTGAGCAGAGCGAAGTGAACGAGCATGGGAATCATCCAGAAACTCAAAACGCTCTTTCAGATAAATAGGAGTTGAAGGGTTAAACAGCACGCAGTAGAGAAGATGAAGAATATGAGTATTCCTGCGGAATCGGATTGGGAGCCACTTGAGCTTTTTACGAAATTGAGAAACATGGTCATATTTTCTAAGGCCGAAAATAAACCGTATACAAAGATTTTGGAGTCGCTCAAGTTTATTCAAGTGCTCCTCTTTGATGTCGAGATAACAAATGTCAGCATAATCAAGAATCGGTAGTAGGAGTGAATTTGCTAGCGCAATTTTGGTAGGAATCGGAAGGAAATTTCGCAATCTGCGAAGAGAAGCAATCGCTCCAAACATCTTCCGGCTCAGTTCACTCACTTGCGGATCCCATGACAGGTGTTGATCAATAAGTAAACCCAGATTTTTAACTTTTTCCTGAAAAGGAATCTGAACACCATCTAGCAATATTTCTGGTATTTGTATAGTTTTAATTTTTGACAACAATCTTTGATTGCCAATAATAATTGCCTGCGATTTCGTTGCGTTTAAGTTAAGGCCGTACGATTTACCCCATGTAGCTATAGAGGAGAGGTCTTTGTTAATATTTTCTATTGTTTGTGGTAAATCAGCCACAGATGTCACGGCATAAATTTGCAAATCGTCTGCATATAGGTGGTAGTGAGAAGAAATTTGGAGACAAATAGTATTAATAAAAACTGAAAATAAGAGAGGAGACAACACGCCACCTTGTGGAACACCGGCAGTAACTTTGTACCAATCTGAGTAAGAATCTTCAATCCGAACTCGTTGCCGGCGATCGCACAAGTAAGAACGAAACCAGTCAACGACCTCAGGAGATATGTTTAGAGAAGATATAATGGCAAGCAAGATGTCAAAGTCCACCGTATTAAAAGCATTACTAAAATCTAGTAGAACCATCACAGTAAGTCTTTGATGGTCCATACCTTTCCTGATATCATCCGTTATTTTGACTAAAGCCGTAGTCGTACTATGATTAGGACGGAAACCAGATTGAAAGGAATTTAAAAGATTATGTTTGTAGAGGAAAGCACTCAATTGCTGGTGAACCAATCGTTCGAGTACTTTTGACAGAAAAGGAAGAATAGAAATAGGACGATAATCAGAAAAAGAAGATGGGCTAGATATTTTAGGAAGAGGAAAGATTTGCCCATCTTTCCAGGAAGAAGGAAATTGATTGAAATTAATTGAAGAATTTAAAATGGTAGTAATAATAGGAACGATATAGTCAAGAACGGGAAGAATCATTTTACGGCTTATACAGTCTGCCCCAACCGCATTAGATTTTATTGCCATAATATTTCTCTTAACATCACTTTCGGAAAATTGACTAAAAGAAAAACGGGGAAAATCAGGAGTAGGTAAAGTTGAAAGATAGTTGAGTGTGTTTAATTTATTTGTACTATTAACAGTAGTAGAAGAAGAGAAATGCTGATTTATCAGATTTAAATTTATATTGTGCGGATTTATATTTTGCTTAGATTTACCTACTCCAAGGGATTTGAGAAACTTCCACATTTTATTAAGATCATCCTCTTCGATGATAGATTTATAGATATGGCGTCGTTGACTATCCCTACACACTATATTGCAACGATTGCGAGCCTTAATATATTTGGCCTTATTGTCATCATTAGGATTAGATACGTACTTTGACTTCGCTACAAATTTTTTTCCTTGGAGTTTTTTGATTTCAGGAGTAAGCCACGGAGCCGGAAGATGCTTCATACGAACAGGGCGAACCGGAGCATGGATGTCATACAGTTGGGTTAACAGCGAATTAAATATTGATACTTGCTCATCAACTGTGCTTGCATTAAAAACAGCCGACCAGTCGATATTTTCAGCATCTGCATGTAATCTATCTAAATTGATACCACTAAAATTGCGCTGCAGAAGGATTCTTGATTTTGCTTTTGGCGGTTTTAATTTATAAGATAAATATGTAAGATCATGGTAAGAAAATGGGGCAGAGCACTGGCCATGTTTTGCAACAAGGTCGGTGGAAGATACAAAGATTAGGTCAAGAAGAGAAGGTACGCAATTTGGAAATCTATGAGTGGGATTTAGTGGGAGAATATTTAAATCGGCTGCTAAGAGAACAAAGTCGATTAGCTCTATGATTATTTTTTTGAAGACACGTGTTGAAATCACCCATCAACAAAGTGTGATCATACAAAGATTTAAATTGCTCTAACAGGGTTTCAAATGATGAGAAATAATCGATCGTATGACTCGGATTGTAATAAACGCCCAGGAGTATTTTAGAGTGAGATAATGCGATCTCAATAAAAAGATGTTCGGTATCTACGTTTCCCTGATGTTGAGACATGCTAACAATTGAAAAAGGAATATGAGAACGTAGATAAATGGCTACTCCACCTCCTGTACGTCCTGTGCGATCATTTCTAATTAAATGAAACCCTGGGATAGAGTAAGATGTTGAAGGAAGACATGGTTTAAGCCATGACTCTGACACTAATATAGCGTGAATGTTTTTACTTGTAAAAGATGACAACATATCAGGATAGTGCGCTGGAATACTCTGAGCATTTATGTGAACCAGATTAACATTTTTCAGAACATCTGAGAAATGTAAATCGAGAGTCTCGCCAAGTGAAAGGATACTGTGAAAACTATCGTTGCTGCTATCGCCTTCAGATGTAGTGCAGGATAAGAAGGAATTATTTAGGCTAATATCATTCGAACTCATAATATATGTATGTTATGATAATATAAAATTAATATAAAATAAATAAAATATATATGTATAGTTTTAAAACTATATAAATAAACAAAATAAAATATTATAATAATTCAATAACTTCTTATGTAAAGATAATAATAAAATAAAAATAATATAAGTAACAAGTAAATACTACTCACCCGCCAGTTGCAAGAAAGAAGAAAAATTTCACAACGTAAAAAAACAAACAAACATGAAATACAGAAGAAAAACAAAATAAATTAAATAAATTAGGTAATAGGCATTAAGATGAATATATAAACTAAATTACTAAAAGAAACAAATAAACTCAAACAATAAAACTAAACAAGACCCAAAAAAAAAATTTTTTGATAAACAATGACAAAAAAAAAGTTGATATTTGACAGATTTGTATCGTGTGTACAGAACTTAAAATTTCATAAGCAATAAAATATTATCTACGTTACACTTTGTTCATATAATCTGTCACAATATTGTCTATAGGTACCATAAAATAATTGTAGTGCGTAAACAATATTAAATATTTAATATGGCCTAATACCTAAAACATAAAAGTTAAACGTATGAAACAAAAGGAAAATAAAATAATTTTAACTATTTTTTTACTATTCGTTTAACGCGAGAAGCCACCACTTTGTCTGTTGTTTTGGGAACTGATACGTTCTGCGGCGATTTAACTGGATTGCTCGGAATTACACTTAAATCCAGTTTACACTCCACACGATGCCGAGACCCATCCGGGGCTATAATGTGGATGCACCCATCCCGAGTCCAGCACTTGGTGACACCAAAACGCTGCCTTGCCTCCAGAAACGCTTCGTGCCTACTCTTCGTGAGGAAGTCCGACTGGGTGAAACCAGTGCCTTTGAGTTTGGTTTTGGCGAACCACACTTTATTACGCACATTAACATCGCTAAATTTCACTACGATAGGCCTAGGCTTGTCGGCGGGGCGGCCTAAGCGATAAGAGTCTTTAATGCTTTCGGTAGAAAAGTTCTGCAGATCGAGATGGTCAGCGATCAAACTTGTGATTCTGGCTGCACTATCTTCATTTTTAATCTCTGGGACACCGTGGAAAAGAATCATCTTACGCCTTCTTCTCATTTCATGCCGGTCAACCTCTAAAGCAAGATATTCAACTTGACGTTGCAAAGTGTTTAGCACGGAAACAATGAAGCTCCTGAAGTTATTAAATTCAGTTGGCAGGGCGCTAGATGAAACAGATGACGAAGTTTTATGCAAGTCTTGCTGAAATTCATTCATCCGGGCGTTAAACATATCAGTCAGTGTAGACAAAGACTCCTTGATGGATTCCATAGTTATGGATGTATTAAATGTTGATTTAAGTGAATAAGTACGAGGAGTATTCTTGCTGGTGGGTAAATAAGTACTCACATGCACATATTATGTTAAAATAGTGTAAATATATAACTTAGTTCTCAATTTTAAATTTAAATAAATCAGCTGATTGCGAATTGACGTGTGTTGCGTTTCACTCCTACCCTCAGAAAAAAACATTTCATTAAGTGACCTCGTCGTTTTAAACGGGTTGTCCGAAATCAAATTAGCTAATAAAATCGATTATTTTATTGTATTTTTTTATTAAAAGTATAGCCATCTCATGAACTAAGAAAAAAATTATTAACAGAGATATGGAAAAAGAAGTATTAGGAAGAAATTTAGTACACAGATAAATTATGATAGGAGTAAAACATAGGCTACTGTTAGAAACACACAGACGCACCTGCGCGATGATGATGACGCTAATTTCAATTAAAATTGGATTCGCTGACGCGTTGCTTAACTAAATATTGGCGGTTTCAAGAAGCCATTGATTAAAAATTAAATTGAATTGAAATAATGGCCGATCAAAAGTCAAAGTAAAAATTGACTATAAAAATGACTTAAAATGTAATCGATTTTGTTTATAGTGGTTACGTCTAGATTTTGTTTTATACCAAATTAAAATTGGAGAGTTCATTTAAAAAAAAACAAGTCAGAAATTATGATTAGTGGTTATTTCTACAAAGAAAAACACATAAATGCCTTTAAACCTAAATAAATATTATAAATATTATAAATTATTATTGTATTCTTAACGGAAGAGAACAAGTAACTAACGTACGTCCTTACTGAACAAAAAGTTATCCCAAAAAGCATTGTGGTTTAGTAAAAGGGTAAATCCTTTTACAAAACCATTACAAAATTTGTGTTAAGGCAGTTATAAAAATGTCCATTACACTCCGACATGTGGTGAGCACAGAGATACCACAAAGGTGATGGCACGTTCGTGGCTTTCATGGTTTTTGACTACAATGTGTTGTAGCAAAGCGTAAATGCACTATGGTATTTCGAGCTTTGCCCATATGAAAAAAAGTAGATTAATATAGGAAACTCTCTATATGTTTTTTTAACTAAACATCTGATTATTGATATTTAAAATTATACCTAAATATTTTAATTAGGCAAAATATATTTTACGTTAAGTAAATAAAAAAAAGTACAAAAGTACAAAAGTAAAAAAAAGTAAAAAAGTACGTAAAGTATATATTATATACATACTAGCATTGCCCGCGGCTCCGCCCGCGTTCAGATGACCAAAAACCCAATTCTTAGGTTTTACATATTAGTATACTCTTATAAAAGTAGTAAAAAGTATCCTATGTGTTAACCCGGATAACTAGCTAACTCCATACCAAATTTCTCTAAATCCCTCTAGTAGTTTTTCTGTGATGCGGTAACAGACAGCCAGACAAACATTCTAAAAACTATAGATTCGGCCTCTATATCGATGATAATGTTTATTTCAATAACATTTTCCATAATAAATAATAATATAAAATATTTAATGTACAGATTCGGCTTAGTTATAATTTTATTATATGATTAGATATAAAGCGGATATCATGAGTTGCTTGCCAAAATCAGAACGCTTCTAAGGCATTATACTCCTATTATAATTATACTGTGACCAATGTCGTAATTATTATAATGAAAATGAATAAAACAATCTTTTGACTGACTTCAAATAAATAGGACTCGTTAAACCAAAATAAATGAGCTCAAGCTGAAATCTTTTACCCAATGCCTTTGAAGACTTCCATTATTTAGTTGATACCTGCCTTGATTATTTAATTCTTCCACGTTTTATAAAGTAGCAAAGCTTTAAATACGATACGACAGTAATTAGAAGTAAGCTTTAATCTATTTCTAAGATCGAGTTACGTTGTTAGTAGTATCAAGTGAAGGTTATAAAAACATGAAAATAATAACTGAATTTCCAATTTCCTAATAAGGATAGGTAAAAAAAAATTAAAGTTTGTTTGTATGTATGTATGTGTGTATGTATGTATATGTGATTGATACTTGTCATAATATGTTTTTTATTTTCTGACATTGACATATAAGGTGCTTTGGGGTAATTTCGACATATTTTATGATTAGTTAGCATGATGCATATATTTAGTCTGGTTTTTAAAGAATTTTCGAATTTAATACGAACTTCTGATCACTTTTGTTAATAACAATGTATACTCGTACTACTAAAGGAAACTATTTGTTGAAATATCATTGTGTTTCCTAAATACAGTTAGTTAAATTGTAGCGATTTTTTTCTACTAGTTTAGTGTAATTCCGAAATATCGCGGGGTAATTACGTACCAAATTCAAAAGCTATCTTTTTAAACATTTAAATTAAGGTTTAAATTTACTTTTCGTTTTACTTTTCCCCTCTTTAAAAAAAAACTTGATATTCCTTACGTCTTAGCCAAAATATATAATTGTTCACTTTGATTTTCGAAATTACCCCATATACATTCCACTGATTCTCAACATGTAATCATAATAGTAGTTATGTAGACCGTCCACAATCAAATATTTTTAGAATATAAAGCAGTAAATATTTAAACAAACATTAAATTATGTAATAAAATTAATATTTACTTTTATTTACGTGTGAAATAAAAATAGAGCTCTTGTAAGCAACCAAGAAATGTATGAATGTAAGTATATCTTTAAATTATAATTCGTTATACTTTTAAGTTTTGCACTAGATTAAGAATATTCAATAAATAAAACAAATTAGATATTTCTATTCACTTTAATTCTAATATGTAATACTATAAGTACTAGTAGTAACATAATATAAACTATATAATTAATCAGTCAAAGTTTTAAAAATTCGAAAAATGCACTTAAGATATTAATTATGTAAAAATTGTAACAACCAGTCTACAAATAAAAATAACAAAACCCGACTGCATAAGCAACGAACTAAAAGGTTACGAAGTTTACGAAGGAACATAGTATTATGCAGTTGGAGACATACCCACACGCAGCTAGTATAGAACATGTACGAGTACATATGTATATTGTACTTACATATGTATGTCTCCGTTGAATAATACTATGTTCCTCCGTCAACTTGATTTCATCTTTTTAGTTCGTTTTTTACACAGTCGACTTTTTAATTTTTTAAAATTATTTTTGAAATATGAAATTAAAAATAAACATTATCTTTCATATCTTTTAAGACAAACTCAACGGGATTTTCTCTTATTTGTATTAATTCTATTTCTTTTACGATTAAATCATCGGGTATACAATCTGTGTCAGCTTTTTTTGGTTTCATAAATATCAAAATATTATTTCTCCATTTACTTTTATAAAAAGATGTTCCATACCTTTTGTCGAGCTGGTTATCATTTGTTTCGGTTATCACACCGACATAATACTTCCACTTTTTTTTAATATAATATTTAACGATTATAGTCTTGCCCAAATCAAATGTTTCTGTTACTTTATTTTTTTGTACTACAGAGTTTACTATATTATTATTTTCCTCATCAAAACATTCTTCTTCTTTAGTATTCATCATCTTTTTTGCTATTTTAGATTTTTCGGTCGCAGTTTTATGTAGTTGTACAGTCTTATCGATCTCCTCTAATCGTCTAATATTTTCGAATATAATGGCTTTTTTCATATCAACTTTATTTTTTATTATCTGTTCTTCTTCTTCGCCGTCATCTGGGCTCAATATTTCATCTATATCACTGTCGCTATGGACGCTCATAATATTATCTTCTGAAGTGGTCGAGCTATTTTCCCACTTTTTCTGTTTCTTAAGTTTTCTGGTTCTTTGTTTACATGTGTCTTTTTTAATATAAGTAAGTGCTTCTCGTTGAGTAGTTATATTATTTGCATTTGTTCTCTTATTCTTTTTTGGTTCATCATAGTCATTGCTAGCTGCCACTAATACAGATCGAATACATCCTGTTTTTTCGTCTAAAATCGTAACGGGTTTTTCATCTTCTTAACGTCTGGAGCAAAAAGTTTTCTTAATGTATTGGTCTTTTTCTATTTCTAGATGTGCTTGGCTTAAATTATATTCGGATATATTTTCTTTGTTCAATTCATTATCCATATGAATAGCATCTGAATCAGCCCATGCCACTATATCAAAATCGGAAATATTTTCATTAGTGTTTAAAATATCATCAGTCATTAAGCCGCTGATTGAATAAGCACTCGATCGCCTTTTAATTTTTTTGAAAGATGTGTTGTGGGATTTCGAAGAACTGGGCATACTTTCTAACTTTGTTTTAGGCTTTTTTAGTTTTTTGTCGTGTTTCTCTATCTGCTCTTTTTCTTTATTATTTTTTAAAATGTTGAGTGTAATTACTTCAGCTCCTTTAGCAACTCTTTTTCTTTTTAACGGAATATTATGTTTACCCTGTTGTATTTTTTCTAATACAAGTTCTTCAAAACTCACTACAGAACTCTCTTTCTCCTCTTGCAAGCATTGTGGTAAACTTGCCGTTTGGCTTGCCATAAATGGTAGTAATTGACTGTCTTTCCTATCAGAAAGATCACTTAACATTGTGACATTTTCAATGTTAAGCTGTGTATTTGTCAATATATGAAAAGTGTCTTCTTTGAGTGGATCACTGATGTCAATAGTACTACTTGTGATACTACTTTTACTATTACTTAACTTAACTTCATTACATAAAGACCTAAGTGATTTTGGAGTTCTACATACCTGTGTTTTATATCTTTTAAGTGCAGCAGGTTCATATTTGTCATTTAGAAATTATATTCCGATTAAATGGGTAAATTCCGGATTTTTTGAATCCATTTTGAATAACTTCAGTGTTAATTTTTTGCCAGGTCTTTGCAAATGTTTGCGCAAAAACATTTTTTGGCATTTTTTTGCCTACATTATGTCGCTGCCACTCAACTAATTTCTTATCCCACATGCTTTTAAAAGATTTAAACACAGCCACATCAAGTGGCTGTAGTAAATGCGAAGTATGAGGGGGAAGCTTTAAAATTGTGATATTATTTTTGACTGCCAGTTCTACAACGTTAGCGTCTACGTGAGTAGAATGGCCATCAAAAATTAATAGAACTGGGCGTTCTTTACCGAGTTCAGGAATCAAAATTTTTTCAAGATAATTATAAAATATGTTCGTCTCCATCCACCCTCTTGAACTTGCTGCATATAATATTTCAAAATCAAAACCTTCTAATTTTGCCATCCACTGATCCCACACCTGTTTCCCTTTATATACGATCAAAGGAGTAATTTTTTTTCCAGTTGCACTCACGGCCGCTAAGACGGTAATATTTTCTTTCCCGGTCCCACATGTTGTCCTCGAACAAGGCTTATTAATTTTACCAACTACTTTAGTCTTCGTCGGGTCTAGGCACAGAGAGGTTTCGTCTAAGTTCCATATTAGATCTGGTTTCTTAAATAAGTTCAAATCAGTCAAAGTATTTTCTAGTAATGTGAAAAAGTCAGATATTATAAAAGGATCTGTCATTTTTTTCTCATGTATTCTATTGGTTGGGGCTTTTTTATAGAGAGCCCATGCCTTTTCTTAAAATTTATGAACCAATCAGGCCCCGGTTTACTATCGTTAAAGGGAGTGTTTAAATTATTTTTCTTTACATACTCAGCAACAATTGCTAATACCTCCTGTCTCGTTAGACCAAACCCCCACTTTTCCATAGTTGCTATAGCATCCGCCAATCGTTGTTCGCATGATAATGGTATAGCTAATGGTCTGCCAACTTTTGGAGCTCTAGAATTTTTTTTTATTCTACCAAATAGAGTTGTTGTTGGGATTCTAAATATTTTGGCAGCAGCATACATACTCATCTCGCCTTTAACTACTGCTTGAATCGCTTTGGCCATGTCCTCCTGCGTGTACGGCGCAATTTTTTTTTAATATATGTACGAGGCATTTTCTTCTGTAACAAATTTTACAAATTAATAATAATTTTCAATTCAGATTTTGAGCAATAAGCAATTATTTTAAATAAAACTATCTTTTCGGATTTTGTCGCGGATTTATTTGAATTTTTGTTTCCCGACGTTTCGAATGCTTTACAGCATTCATGGTCACGGGAGAGACTGAGGTGTTACATGTCTCGAATTAATTTTAAAACATAACAGACAGGCAGATGTAGTAAGTTCTTACTGTGTGGATCAAAATGACAGCATATCATATTGATAAATATTTTTCATTTGTATAGTAATAGTGTTGCTTAGTAATTTGTCTTTTAAATAATAGCAATCTAAATTAAAATTATTATCCTTAATTAATTTTAACTTTTTAAATTACACATAGAACAATTATATGGCTTAAATAATTAATACTATATATTTTATATTTTTCTTTATGGTTATAAATATAATAATGGCAACACTAAATATAGATTATTAATTAATATTTTAAAATTGTAATAATTATAATAATAACAGCAAAATTAAATAAATAATATTCCATATTCAATTATAAAACTAATTAAAATTATAAAAATGTTTTAAGTTTAAAAATATTGTAAGGTAATTAGTGAAATTTTCATTTTGTTAATTGTGTCTAGGCTGTCTGTAACAACTATACCTTCGAGACATGTAACACCTCAGTCTCTCCCGTGACCATGGATGCTGTAAAGCATTCGAAACGTCGGGAAACAAAAATGCAAATAAATCCGCGACAAAATCCGAAAAGATAGTTTTATTTAAAATGTCAAATATTCGCGTAAATCTAAGAAAGTATTATATTAAGCAATTATGTTGAGAACCATTGGAAATTCCTATAGAAAAGCAGTTTGGGGTAATTTCGATGATACGTCTGTGATAGTTTCATTTGGATATACCCCGTTGGGGTATTTCCATATTGAACATAAGTTAGAGAGTTAACCTATCCTGGCCCACAAAAAGAAGTAGTAAAAATGATTATATTTTATTAAAAAAAAAACAATGAATAAGATTACTTACCAAACATCTGAGATATATTACACGGGGTAATTATGAAAATCCACAAAACGATGAATATACCCGTTGTACACGAAAAAATGATTTTACTCACGTTCATTCGTTACGAGCTACTCGTCGTGACTGATGGGAAGTGGGAAATAAGATGGCGTCTTTATTAAAGTTACCAGTGCAAAAAACATTGCTTGGTTTGGTAGTAATTTGTAATTTTCGCAATATCCCCATTTTCATAATAACCCCAAAGCACCTTATATGTATGTCTTCTCTGATTTACACTTCCGGTGGTGCTACTATAGTCTAACGGACTATGTACTTTACCGGAAGTCGAAAATATAGTAAACGTCACTATACTTTCTCTTAATAAAATATGTATACTATATATATATATATATATATATATATATATATATACATTATACATATATTATATAATATATATTGTATGTATGTTTGTTAGTTTTTCACGCTGAAACGAAAACAACACACAAACTATCGAATTTGTAATAGTAGTCCGACAAAATATATTGTCGATAAAATATCAAATCAAATGTCAGCTAGTACAAATTTCCGTAGCTTTTCAATATTCCGACAACATCGAGGCCGTTTAACGCCTCGTCTCCTTCATTTTCCCTAGCGTCGTACATATATCGCGTGTATGTAGGACAGGAGCACCGACCCGAAAGCGCACTTAATTGCCAATATTGATTTTACTCGAACTTTATGTTTAATAGTGCTCTGTTATATGCCTATATTACTAGTTATTAATATAATGTAAATAACTTTTGATAATATGACACATTTTTCTTCGAAATAAGCTTTAAGCTGTAATCCATAATATCATATTTAATTATCAATTCCGTTTGATTAATAATCAGGTACTTGAAAGCTTCAATAAGAGCGATAAGTTCATACATATTTTAATTATATTGTTCTGTTATTTGTTATATTATACATATCATGTATTATATAAATGAAAGCGATATTAGATTTTTTAAGGTAAATTATGAGATGGATTGGTTTATTGGCATATATAATGAATTGAGAATGTCTGTTCTAATACATTAAGGACTTCTCATTTCAATATTCTTGCTTCGATTTCTTTATTTACAGACGCATCATTTACGATTGAACGTTCCACCTACGCTTAGCGTCTCGAGTAACACCCACGTATAACAAATATATAACCTTAAATAAAATATGGGTAAACATTAAACCTACCTGTTGATATTAGCCACTTAAATGGTATTATATATTAACACACCCTATTCAATAATTCATAAGAAAACACTGATAATTATTTAAAAAATTGATATAAATTGTAAAGGTAGTGTTTTAATAATTTGTACACTCAACTAACTAACTTATGAAGTAGATTAGAATGGTTTAAAATATAAAAATCTACGAAAGTTATTATTGAAGCTTGACAGATTCTATCTATTACATTAGATTCGTACACAGTGTTTTTTTAGTACGCATGCGCTTGTTCCGCGCATGCCCGACGCCCTGAGAGTCATCAATATACCAGCGTCAAAAGCTCGACTTTCAATGGGTGAAGGGGAAATTATGAATGAAGAAATGTATGATTGAACAAAACTATGCTCTTAGTTAAGCTTTTGCATGAATGACTGTAAGCTTTTAATTAAAATTACGTTTAAAGGAAGTTTCTAAGCATTTTCAACCTTTAAATATTGTTAGTACTTTGCTAAGGCCCTAACCACTTGAATTGAAGATATTGTGATTGTAATTTGTAACTTCTTACTAAAAACTAATCTTTGTCCTAATAAAAAAATATTTTAATCAGATATCCATACCAATATTATAAATCTGAAAGTGTGTTTGTTTGTTTGTCCTTCTTTCACGTCGAAACGGTGTGACGGATGGGCGTGATTTTTTTTGTGTAGATAGTTGGAGGGCTGGAGAGTGACAAAAGCTATTTTTTTATCGCGGGAAATAATCTAATTCCCACAGGAAAACATGTTAAAATACAATCCAAAAAAATATTTATGATCAGAATTACTTGAAACTGGATATTAATGTTACACATTATGATTAGATATATAATTATGATTTTGTTATATTAATAAATTATCTCAATACTATAAATGAATTTGACTATATATACCTTCTAGATATCTTAATATAGGTAATAATTCTTCTGTACGTGTGTTTGTCACCTAACTCCTCCTAAACGGCTGGATCAATTTGGATGACGGGAAAGACTTCCCTCTCTCCCGTCTCTCGGGTCCAATCGAGTCTCTCCCGTGACCATGACTACTTGCTTTCGAAACGTCGGAAACCAAAAATCAAAATAAATTCGCGAAAAAATCCGAAGAGATAGTTTTATTTAAAATTTCGAACATTCGCATAAATCTAAGAAAGTATTATGCAATAATAAATAATAATAGTACACTCAAGTCAACTAATAATTATATATAACTTGGAATTTTGTTATGAAACTATTGACAAACTAAAGTTAATAGCGGTTACTAGTCTAAGTCACTTTAATTAGGTACTTAATGAAAAAAAAATTAAAAGTTAACATTCATGATTATTGTAAAACGCGTAAAAATCATTACACTCAACAATTCTTCAAAATGAGTAACCTTATAAATGTAGTTACGGGGATAAATCTATACTAATATTATAAAGAGGTAAAGATGGTGAGTTTGTGGGTTTGTGAGTTTGTGACGATGTAGGGGATAATCTCTGGATCTACTGAAGCGATTTAGATGAAATATGGTAAGAAGATAGTTTGATAGCCTGGAATGGACATAAGATACTTTTTATCCCGGAAATCATCCCTTAAGAGGGTGAAAATGGGAATAAAAGTTTGTATGGGGAATCAAGCCAGGGACGAACCCGAGCGAAGCGAGGATGAGTCGCTAGTTTACTGTAAAATAAAACAACTATGTAATTATAAATACCTATTGTATATTTTAACTTATACTTTATAAGTTTCTATACGAGATACAAAAAAACGTATATCTAAAACATAAATTAAAAAAGAGTTCCATAAGTAATAATACTACTCTACATCGTAAAATCACAGATCATAATATAATACTATACTAGAGAAATCGTACCTACAAAGTCAACAAAAATATATATGTTTTGGAAACAATACTAATAAATGCCAGCCGTTATACAAATATAAAGCGCGTAGCTATATTATATATATATATATATATATATATATATATATATATATAATATATATATATATATATATAATATTTTGTTTTTCAAAGACAATATTTTACAAATATAATTTGTAACTGCCATAGTGGCGTTGAGAGGCCCTACATAGGGCACAGATCATATAATACTATACTTTACTAGAATAATAGGTACCTACAACATTGTGCAGCGGCAATTCGGGGATATATATCATGGATGACAAATAAAAATATATATCCTAGCTTTTATCGCCATCTATCATTAAGAACCTTAGCATTTACTAACTAGAGGTGCTACATATCCCTTTCTTTAATTCTCACTTGCGCCATCTATTATCCATTTTAGGACAAAAAAATAGCCCGTTGAGTAGCTCGGATTAGCGTTGTCCAAATATTTGTATTCAACGCAGTGTATTAATATAGTATTATATGATCTGTGGTTTCATAAAAAAAATGCTTGCTCTACAACCTATAAAATTAAAAACTGCATAATGAAAAAAGAAATGTTTTTTTAATAGTGGGTACTAAAAACTATTATTTATACTTTAGATAAACAACGCCATCTATGAGCTCTTAGTGACAACTTAAAACCTCATGGTTATGGAAATTTGATTTAAGAATTCAGTTTTTCATTTTTTTCATTATCTTCAAGATCTACGGATTTATATATTAAGTATTGGCATTTATTTGATCTAATTTCTCTTCTTCCTGATAAGACTATGACCCATGTAACAAATA